GCTTGAACCACTGACCTTGCGGTTCCAACCAACTTTGCAGTCCAGCACATCAACCCACCGCACCATAGCAGGGCTCCATCTTTCATTAGACCTGCCTTTATGTATCCCAGCCCTGAGCCGTATAATGAAGAGGAAGGATCTCTAAGATGCCTTTGAGATGTCCACACCTTGAGCTGGACATGGCCAGGGGAGGCCCCACTCTCCTACCAGTGTTGTTGTTGTTGTAAGCTGCTGACTCATAGCGACCCTATGCACAATGGAACAAAACACTGCCCGATCCTGGGCCAACCTCACTGCTGTTGGTACGCCTGAATCCATTGATGTTGCCACTTGGCCAATCCATCTCGTTGGGGGTCTTCCTCTTCTTCTCTGTCCCTCCACCCTACCGAACATGATATCCTTCTTCAGCGACTAATCCCTCTTGACAATATGTCCTAAGTTTAAGAGACAAAGTTTGGCCATCCTGGCCTCCAAGGAGCACTCTGGCTGCACTTCTTCCAACACAGATCTGTTGGTTATGTTGGCAGCCCATGGCACTTTCAATATTTTCCTCCAACTCCATAATTCAAAAGCATCAACTATTCTACGGTCTTCCTTATTCACTATCCAGCTTTCACATGCATATGAGGTATTGAAAATACCATGGCTTGGGTCAGGTGCACCTTAGTCCTCAAGCTGACATCTCTTGCCAGTGGTGAGGGAGCACATAGACAAAATTTTGAAGAGAAAATTCCAGAAGACAGACTGATGTATTTGATGTGCTCACGCCTTCCTTTGAACTCAGCAAGATTTTATTACAGTGCTGGTATATCCGTTCAATAGAATACTATACCTCACAGGTATAGTAAGGTATACTCTTGTTGTTGTTAGGTATTGTCTAGTTGGTTCTGACCCATAGACACCCTGTATAGGGTTTCCGAGGAGTGGTTGGTGAGCTTGAACCACCGACCTTGCAGTCCAAATGGCTTTGCAGTCCGGCACATTAGCCCAGAGCACCACACCAGGACTCCATATGTACATGTTAATGTGAGTAGTATGTGCGTGTATGCTTACCTTACCCACATTTCAATGTGGACATCTTAACGCTGAATAGAAATGACCTTCATACCTGATATAGGAACCAGGATGGTTAATTAAAACAATTTGTATAACACAGATAACCTAAAGCCCTGATGTGGTGTTGTGTAATAAGCATTGGACTGTGATCCACAAGGTTTGTGGTTCAAACCCACCAGGTGTTCTCAAAAACCCTATACGGGGTAGCAGTGAGTTAGAATTGACTCGCCAACACGCAACAACAATAACAACTAATCTGAAGGTTGTTGATTTGTCTACTGACCTGAACAAAATGGAGTCGGGTGTGGTCTCCAGTTAGGACCCTGCAAATGACAAAGTTTAAAACTGAGCCGAGATGAGCTTGTGGTCCTAGAGGGAGAAGCCTGCCTAGACGGCAAAATGTTTCCGAAGGATTATTGCCTTGTTTCTTTTTCTAAAGAATGCTACCTTGATGTTAAAATAAGCATACATCTTAATATAACTTGTTGTTGAGTATTGTCGAGTCAGTTCCGACTCACAGCGACCCTGTATTGGGTTTCCAAGGAGTGACTGGTGAGCTTGAACCGCCGACCTTGAGCTTCAGACTGACTTTGCAGCCCAGTGCATTAAGGACTCGTTTGTACTCAGTTTGTCAGCACACAGCAACCCACAAATTCAAAGGTTGGAAGTTTGAGTTTTCCCCAAGCCCTGTGGAAGAAAGGTCTGTCAATTTGTGTCTCTAAAGATCCTGGGCCAACCTCACAATCATGGCCACACTAAAGCCCATTGATGCTGCCACTTGGCCAATCCATCTCGCTGGGGGCGCACAATAGGATTCTCCCCATTAGGTAAGCTCAGACAGCATTGTTCTTACTCATGGTAAGCACATGCTTACCAAACTGGTGTGCACAGGGAAAATGAGGCATGTCTGGTAATCAGAGACATCAACATGCATACTCATGGTAAGCATGGACTACCTTCTGCTTACCAATCTAGATTTGACCATTTAAAATGGGATTCAACACATCTGGAAAACACAGGCATAATTGGGCTCACTTATGGTAAGTAAGGAGCTCTGGTAGCGTAGTGGTTACGAATCGGGCTGCGAACCACAAGGTCAGCAGTTCGAAACTACCAGCTGCTCCGTGGGAGAAAGATGAGACTTTCTGCTCCCGTAAAGATTTACAGCCTTGGAAACCACGTACAGGGTCGCTATGAATCGGAACCAACTCCATGGCACATAACCACCAAACACCACCATGGTAAGCACTGGTGTGACGCTGCGGGTTAATGCATTGGACTGCAAGATTGGTTTGAACTGCAAGGTGGGCGACTCAAGCTCACCAGTGGCTCCTTGGAAACCCTGTACGGGGTCGCTGTGGGTCGGAACCGACTGTTACCACTTAACAACAACAATAACAACATGGTAAGCACAGAGTCCTGCTGTAGCATTATAGGATAAGCACTGGATCACAAGTTTGGATTGAACAACAAGGTCATCGGTTCAAACCCACCAGCTGTCCCTCGGAAACCCTATACCGGGTCACTGTGAGTCGGAACCAACTCCAGGGAACATAACAACAACATGGTAAATCTGGGTGACTTCTTCTTACCAGGGTGGATAATAGCGTGAGTGAATCACCTCAACCTTTGAGGATATGGAGATTTGGGTTCTGTGAGAATTAGAACTCTTGTTCCTCATCCCATCAGTCTCACCTGGAGAGCCCTAGGGCTTGTTTACCTGGTACCTGGGACGGTTCACCTCCCTGAGTCTCTGGCAGGAAACACAATCTTCGCAGGGGTCCAGGCACAGATGCACGTTTTAGCTCAGCATCCTCTTTCCTTCCCTCCCAGCAGCCCTGACCCCACTCATCACGGTGGGTGAGTCTCCCCTGAAAGGGTGGAGCCCCCGCATAGGATTACACCACAGCGGAAGGGTGTGGGCATGGGCTGCTCGTCTCTTTTTGCTTGTAAGCTACCCGTGGAGGCTCCAGAAGACGGTTACTCAGCACAACAGCCCACATCAAAGGCATCCGTCTGCCCTGAGCCCCCAACACCAGGCCTGGGGAATGCAGGTCAGCAGTCTGTCCCTTCCACCAAAGCTCACAAACATCCCCCAAAGAAAAAAAAAGCATAAAATAATGAAACCCATTTCTGTCAGGTCAAGTCTGACTCATAGCGACACTGTGAGCTAGAGAAGAACTACCCCGTGGGGTTTGCTCAGGAGCAAAGATGCTACTTTGAGGACTAAGGTGTGCATCGGTCAAGTCATGGTATTTTAAATGGCCTCACATGCCTGTGAAAGTTGGACAGTGAGTAACAAAGATCGTAGAGGAATTGGTGCTTTTGAGTTATGGTGTTGGAGGACGCTATTGAACGTACCATGGATTGCCAGAAGAACAAACAAATCTGTGTTGGAGGAAATACAGCCAGAATGCTCCTTAGAAACCAGGATGGTAAGATGTCTGTCATGTGATCAGGAGGGACCAGTCTCTGGAGAAGGACATCATGCTTGATAAAGTGGAGGGTCAGCAAAAAAGAGGGAGACCCTCCCCCAATGAGATGGATTGGCCCAGTGACAGCAACAACACGTTCAAACAGAACTAGCACGTCAGGATGGGTCACAGTTGGGCAGTGTTTCTTACTGTTGGGCGTAGGGTTGCTATGAGTTGGAACGGACTTAACTAATGACACCTAGCAACAACCTTAGTGATAGATGACCCAATAAGACAGCACCCAAGTGTTCTCTACCAATAGAGGCTGATAAGATTTGGGTGGGCCGCCCGACTTAGAAGAAAGCAGAGCTTACACACACGTAAGCTGGGTGCGTGTGAGCTCGCTCTGTAATTTGTGTGTGTTTCGGTTTCCATGACGGAAGCAGCGCATTCCCTACCACGTCCAGCTGTTGGGATGGATAAAGCATGAGGGTGGTGCACAGCGTGGACTGACCAGGCAGCAAACACCAATGGCCTCCAAAATTTGTTGTTCCAGGTGTTCACTATCATGGAGGCTTAGGGCGCCATGAAAGCTTTATCATTGTAATGACGATGAAGAGGAGGATGCTTCTTCATTTTC